TGTTCCCTTTCTCTGGCAACTTTGCGCATGCGCATTCTGGGAACAGGCTCCAGCTGTTCGTCTGCCTCACTGATGTCTGACTCTGAAGGTAGCTGATAACTGTCAGACGGCCCTGGCCCCTCTCTGCCTCTGACACAGAGCCCTCATCAGAGCCTTCCCCAGACTCCAGGACTGGCCCAGGTTCCTCCCCAACCTCCTCACTGTGCGAATCTGCTGGCGGGCCACAACAAAGGCAATCATGACCTGGATGATTGAGAAAGTCTCTAATCACTGGAGAAAGCAAGTATGCTGGGAAGCGTTAGTGATAAATGGAAACCGGGCCGCCAAAGAACGAAGTAAGATAATCACAAGATGCCAATAGGCGAAGGCAGTAGGAAAGATGAAAAAGGATAAACAGTAACACAGCGCTACTACCTGAATAAAATGAATTGTAAATCTTTCTTTCACACCACAAAATGATACTTTCGGAACTCAGGAAAGCCAAAGAGGGTGAAACAGAGAAAGCAAGCGCTACCACCGTTCGTCATTTACCCGATGAACTGTAAAGCAGACAGGGGGAAAAAAAATATTGCTTCCGTCTTCCTCAGGATACGGTTCAGATTGCACATAAAATTCTCCCGGTGCACAATATGCTATCTTTTATGGTAGGGAACGAGCCACGTTGAAAGGAGAGATTTTCAGCCCGATAACAAACTGCAACCTGGAAAATGGCCATTTTTACTCCACTGGTGGAACGACACCTGTGGCACTCTTTGGACATGCCTTACAAATCAAAACAACACGGCCGCAATTCCGTTTAGCTAAACGGAGTCAGGGCGGCCTGAAGGGCTTTGTAATCCCCGCAGAAACACGGGACGTAATTTATGGGGCAGGTACAGAAGAGAGAGGAAGCCTAGCGATATAAGCGAAGATACTGCACAGGCAGTCCTTGACTTAATACCAGTTGTGATGGAGGCCCCCCTAAAAAGCCACAGGTAGTCCCCGACTTATGACCAAAATTTCTATTGCTAAGCAAGAGAATTTTGCCCCACTTAACAACCTTTCCTGCCACGGTTGTTCAGCGAATCACTGAAGTTGTTAAGCTGCTAAGCACGGCAGGTAAGTGAATCCGGCTTCCCCATTAATTTGGCTTGTCAGAAGGTGGCAAAAGGTGATCACAAGACCCCGGGACACAACAACCATCCGTTCTGAGCTAGGCCTCCCGAGATCATGAAGCTGACTCCTCGTCTTGATACAACCCCTTTTATTTAGTTTAAAGTGAATTCCTCTCCAGCAAAATCCTGGCCAACAGTCTTTCAAGAGATTTCACAACCACAGA